CTCTTAGTTGCGCAATTTTGTTTTTTTTTTTTTTTGATACAATGAATTTTTTCAACCGAAAATTCTCTTCTGGCAAGTTTAGCGGAGAAAAAAAGTCAAGTCAACGACCTTTATTGTAGTGTAAAACTAAAATTCGGGTGGCCGGCTGGCGTTGCGGTCTTACGAGACCGAAAATGAATTCGGTTTTACTTTTGGCCGGGCCACTGATACCAGTCTGATGTCTCGTGTGTTCCTTTCCCCTCACCACGCAACTTACTTCAAACGGGACTCTGTATTCTCTATAGTATATCTGGTATATAACGGTTCAAGTTACATACCGACTTACCGAGTGTGTATGCACCCATGGTTGAATAAAAGTTTAATAAAAGCTCCTTCTACGCTTTAATCCTTTACTTGTATAGAATATATTTTAGCTATTTTCTAGATAAAATATAGATGTTGTTATTGGTGAAAAAAAATTAACATCACGAATGTAATAAATAGTCATGCAAGGAGAAGAGAAAGAACAATCGGTATGCACTGATAATCGTGAACCGCCTAAGATTGTCGTATAAATTGACATAAGTAACGTTACTATTATTTTACCGTATTAAATAAATCGCTGGGTAGAGAATGTGTGTCTTTCTTTATTCGCTAATTTTTTTTTTTTTTTTTTTGCTGCCATTATTATTCCCCTGCAGTCTTTCTGTTTTTGTTTTATCGCGGTTGTTTCTAGTTATTATGTCTTTGCAAATCATGTGGGCTTTATATATGTAACTAACAATCAGGGATTACTATTATACGTTGCGTAGGAAAACTGTTTTAACAGTTACAATCCGCTATTATGCAGCCTAGACTTAAGTATTGATTTTATTTCATTTCTTCTTTAGTTTTTTTTCCAGAAAAATATCTTATAATTGCTTGAAAAAATTTGTTTAATAAATAAATAAATTATTTATAAAAGAAATTTAAAAAATTAATAATGTAATTATTAAAATTTCTTCTTTTAAATTAAATTAATTTTATCATTATATTTTTAATATCTAATTTTTTTTACTATATTATATATTAATAATGTGATTATTAAAAAATCATTTTTTTTTTTTTATTAAAATTTCTTCTTTTAAACCAAATTAATTTTTTTATTGATTATATTTTTAATAACTAAATTTTTTACTATAAATTAAATGTATTTAAAGTGTAAAAAATTTATTTTAATACATATTTTTAGAAAATTAAATGAAATAAAAATTGGCTATTAAAAATATATTTTTAAAAATAAAATTAACAAAATATTTAACAATCCCAAAAAAACAAAACTTATATAAATGCATAACAAGTGTAATACATTAGGTAAAAGTTGTAATACTCCTACACGAAGGCCCAGCGTGAGTTTAAAAATTAATTGACTCGAAAAAATGATGAGTAAAAAAATGACAAGTTTGAAAATTGATAAAAGTTTGCAAAAAAGTAGAGAATATAAAATTGATTAAAAGGATACTTGTGGTCCAAGTCCAAGTCCAGATGGTGAGGCGATTACCAAGTGGGACAATGACCGGCAGAGACCTTCTTTCGAGCGCTTAACCGGACGAGTACAAACAGAATAAGTATTAACAAGTATAAGACCAAAGAGAATGAACGAACTTGTACTTTAGTTGAGAAATAGAAGTGGTAAAAAAATAGGAAAGAAATTGAGAGGGGAGAAAACTCTTGAGTTTACTGAAACTGTAAATAATATATGGATAGAAATATATTTTTATTGTATTATTATTAATGTAAGATGAAGAAAGAAGTCGTCGCTAATTCACTTACTCGTTACTTTTCCGGTTTACATTTGCCCACGATCGCCTACAACACCGATTACGGGAGATTTCTTGTGAATGTGATCAAGGTACAATGAACTCGATGAGAATTTATCCAGTTATATATGTTATAAATATATCTACTAATAAGTATATTTATTTGTAAGCTAAACTATTCCGTTAATGGATAATTAATTCCATTTAATTACAAAGAAATTATTAAGACATTGATTTATCTTTATTGACTGTGGACAATCGACTCAAAGCTGTGGCGCAGATATAATATCCAGTAGACTGTATATAGTTAATGATTTATTTAGAGGAAAAAAACGTCTATTGATTTGACGAGTCTTCGTAAGGACTTACGAGAGTGTAAAAACTATCATAGAAATGTTATCTGGTACACATGGAGTCAACTTCTTCGAGAAGTCTCGAGATCGACGACCTGAAGACGTATCTGGGTTAGTAGTCGTTGCCGATTCACGCGGAAATTCTTCGCTAGTCGCTCACTCGCACGGGCGAGATCGTTCAAGTGAACACTAAGAAATACACGGAAAAGTGAAATTTTCATTCAGTACCTCCCTACTTTTATTTATTATTTTATTAATAATAATCTATTTTTTTTTTTTAATTATTTACAATTTTTTGTCCAAAATTTTAGAAAAAAATCTTTTAAAAATGATTTTTTAATTTAAAAAAATGAAGAATTTTTATTTAATTTGAGATTTTTTTATTTATTATTTTATTAACAATAATCAATTTTTAATTAAAATTATTATTAATAATTTACAATTTTTTGTCCAAAATTTTAGAAAAAAATCTTTTTTAAAAATGATATTTTTTATTAAAAAAAAAAATTGAGAATTTTTTTTTAATTTAAGAATTTTTTTATATTCGCACAATTTAGTCTAAATTCTTCCGCTTTGAATTCATAGAGGTCATTGACCTCAAGCCTAAACACCGATTAGGTCTGCAGATTTCTACAATGAATAAAAGAAAAAAAAATTTTTTTTTTAATTAATTTTTTAGCAAAAGACAATTATGTTTTTTTTTTTTAATTTTTATTAAAAAAATAAATTTTCTTAATAAATAAATTCACTAATTTCTTCTTAAGAAGATAAATAATAAAAAAAAAAAAAAAAACTTCGATAATTTTATCTCCTAGTTTTTTATAATAAATAAATTTTCTTTATTATTTATCATTTTTTATTTATAAATAACGTTGAACTTTATAAAGGGTTTTAACCCTCGATACCCTTAACTATTACTGGCACTTATTAGACTTTGATGTCTGGACGCACAGCGAAAGTAACAGGACAAAGAAGAAAAAATCCATACTATCAATTTAGCAAAACTGAATAAAGGTAAAAAGTATAAAGCATAAAAATGTGTTCAACAATAGCCTTCTTTTGAAGTTTGAATCCTCGGAAAGAAAATGTTTAATAATATATCAACAATGAGTATATAATATATAATATAAAGCTGGTACTGGTACGGATCGCCGTGATTGAAGAATGAGGGGATGAAAATCGAAAGAGAGTGATATTGATGTGAAAATGAGAGGGATTGTTGAGGGTGACTATCGGGGGTGGACAGAAAGCGGAAAGAGGGAGGGAGAGGGCGCTCTCAGCGGCGGGTCGATTGAAAGCGCAGGAGAAATGCACCACCATGTATATAATATGGGTTTTGCTGTACTGGTGCTGCCTCTGCCTCTTTCGTTACAGATATACCTACAATTTATATATTTATATATACACTGTATAACTTGAACATGCGCCACCAGCCAATACCAACGTAGGCGAGCCAAGGAGACTCGTGTTGGGCTAGGTCAGGTCTACCCGAGTTCCACACTGTGCCATCCGCGAAACCCTCGCGTTCGCCACTAAATTACACTTTTCTTATCAAGAAACTCGCTAAAATTTCATTAAATATTACACTTGTGCGCCGTGATAAGATGAACCACTAGAAAATCACAAAATTGAACAATTTTGTTGAGTATTTTCAGTCTGAATTTGTTTAAAAGTAATTAAAGTGATTGAAAAAATTTTATCAGTTTAAATTTAGTGAAAAAAAATTAAGTGATTTTTTAATTTTTAAAAATTGTCTTTATTTTTTTGGATAAAAATAAAAAATTGAGCTGCAGTGTAAGTGTATTTACGTGGCCCAATAGGGAGGACATGCGCGGTGGAGAAAGAGAAAGGGAACTTGGATTTTTTTTAATCACTCGAAGAATTTTTGAATGGGCTACTCCCAAAAATCAAAAGTGATTTTATTATTTAATAAATTTGAAATTAAAAATTTCTTCCTTGACAACGACGCACAAAATTAGCAACGAAGATGAATAAGACTGATTGTAAACAGTGTTTATTGACTGAATAAATAAAAAATAGTGATTGGGACGTTCTCCAGCCCTCCGATGTCCTGATAATCGATATAATTAGGGCTCTCAAAAACGTGTCGTAACACATCGATCGATCGGCTAATATTTTTTAATTTATTTTATTAGTAAATGTTTAGAGTAATAAGACACTTTTGTCTTAAAAATACTGATGTTTATAAAACTTTAGTAATATCTGAGATTTTTATTGTAAAAATGATCGATGAAATTTCTCTGAAAAATCACAGGATCACATAAGAAAGTTTTGAAATAAAAAAATTTTGAAGGACTTTGTAAAGTAAAAAGTGTATGTATTAATAAAGAAACTAATTGTTATTATTAAAGGGTAAAAATAGGAAAGATATTTTGGTCGAGATCCTGGAGTTTATATTATCTTTTGCCCCTTTCCGCTCACATTTCCTCAACCCTCCTCCCAGTCCTCTCGCTTGCAGTCGATCAATGCATGGACGGGTTTCACTTTCGCGGTGTTTAAGCGTGCAAGCTCGGTGCAGCGACGTCATATATTTTTTTAAGTCTTTTCAATTAAAATTGCTGAGAAGAAATAGTTTTTTATTCACTTTCGGTTGAATGAAACCTTTAAAATACCTTTAAAATATTTTTTTTTAAATTGAGGAGAAATTTTTTATTGGCTTTTTTAATTTAAAAAATTAAAATGAAAATTATTTAGGGGGTAAATTGAGCAGTAATTTAAATTGAGCTATGGGTAGCGCTTTTTTTTATTAATTAATTTGATAATTGAGATAAATAAATGTTAAATTAATTATTATTGCAATGATTAATAAAAATTAATAAAATATTTATAATTTTTGTTACAGTGAACAATGGAGGCTAGTGAGTGGGATCACGCGACCCTGAGAGAGGAGGAGTTTGAACTACACGCGGTTTACTTGGTACCGGATGTCTCGACGTCGGCGAACGAGTCGAATCGGGCGGAGGCATCACTACCGAGAAATCTTGTTCTAAAGCAATCTCAAGCTCTTAATGATGTACGTATTTTGATTTTTTATCTTTAAATTATTTAAAAAGTAAAATAAATTTTAAAAAGAAGAAATAGATAAAAATTTTCTATTTGAAGAAATATTACATAAAACTATTGACAATTATAACTTATTGACGTAAAACTGTTAACTCAGAGGTATTTATAGTTAGAATTAATGAATAATTAAATGAATAAATTGCTAAAGTTCTATATTAAACTAAAAGGTCGAGAGTCATGTTATTTTTTTTTTACCAATTCTGTCGATTTCGATTATCTATAATAAATTTATAATATCAAGATAGTATAATCTCCGATTATTTTTAGTCGCTTTTATCTAATGATTCGATTGATTTATTATTCAAGCTGACCTTTAGAGTAAAGGTTTTTTTTAAATAAAAGCTTTTGATTCATAAAAATTAGTTCGTTTGAAAATTTAAATAGAAGAAATAAAGGTCAGAATTTTGATAATAAAAATACTATTTTTGTCGGTTTAGGTTTTGGGTGTGTGGAGCACGAGTTACATTCCTAAAGGGACTCGTTTTGGACCTTTGGTCGGACAGCAATATACTAAAGATTCAGTACCTGTCGACGCGAACCGAAAGTACTTTTGGAGGGTAAGTTTTCTTCTTTGAAAATCACTTTTATTAATTAATTTTATTCTAATTTTTTTTTTTTTTTTTATTTTATTGCAACAGGTCTATAAAAACAATGAGTTGTTCTACTACATCGACGGATACGATATCCAGAAATCAAATTGGATGAGATACGTTAACCCCGCGTACTCATCTGAATCCCAAAATTTGATAGCATGTCAATACAAAGTAAGTTACTAACAATTATTGTAATTAAAATTTATAAAACTGATTTATTAATTTATTAAAAAAAAAAATTTATTTTTCAGATGAACATTTATTTTTACACAATTAAACCAATTTTACCGAACCAAGAGTTGCTAGTGTGGTATTGTCGCGAGTTTGCGGAAAGATTAAACTATCCATTTACGGGTGAGCTTATGCTCCAGCGAATACGCCAACAAGTTCAACAATCGGCATTACCAACTAACGAAATACCTACTTCATCAGATGCGTCTATCTCATTAAGGTATTTTTAATTATTTTATTAAATTGTCCAAGATTAGGATGTGAAACTTTTTTTAAATTTTATTTTTTATAAAAAAATAAATTAAACAGGAAAGAAATTTTTATTAATTTTTAATAAGTCAAATATTTATTTTTAAATATAACAATTATTATTTATTTATTAATAATTAACTTGTAAATATTTAAAAAAAATTAAATAACATATTTTTTTATTATCAAATTAATATCTTTTCACTTTAATTAATTAATTAATTAAAAATTAATTTCAAAAAAAGAAGCTTCACTAAAAAAATCTATAAAAAAAAATAATTTTTTTAATATTTAAAAAATTTTTCAGTGAAAGAATAACAATGAAAGACTCAGTAGTATACGAGCGCCGTTGCCAAATGACTCCCACAGAAGGCTCAGTGAGATCAGACGAGGGTTACCACTCAAACGGGTACCACGACGAGATTCTCACACCCCCTCACGAGGAGAGCAGCGAGTCCGACTCGGAAAACAACTACGTTTTAGACTTCAGCAAAACAACCAGAACTTGTTCATCAGCGCCGTCGCCGTCATCGCCTCCCCCCGCGTCCACCGGCAGCAGTGTCATCAAGCAAGACACCGTGGTGGTCAAAAACGAGTACCGAAAAGTGAAGATAAAAATCAGCAAGACCTACAACAACTTCCAGTCTAAAACTCAAGATATCAAAGACAAGGAAGAAATCCGGGCTGTAACTCCGGAAATTCCCCAAAAGTCCGTGTCTCCTATCCAAAAAGTGACCATGATTTCCACCTCAGACAAGGTTGAAAAGAAGCCCAAGGCTTTCTATGAATTAGAAGTGAACTCAAAGGGCAACCATCAGTCGCCTCCAATGTCAACCACCGGCCGGACATCCTGCATGACCAGCCCCAGCAGCTCTATTTTGGAGAACATTCTTCTGAGGAGCAATAATTGTTCTGATAATAACAACAACAACAACACCACAAACATCCACCAGCTTCATAGCAATCATAATAATCATCTCCAAGCTCACAATCAAATCCACATAGACTCAGTAACTCCTCCACCATCCAGCCCGACGGAGATGGCGTACTCGTACAAAAAGTCTCACAGGTACGGGAATATTCTTCCCTGCAGTCCAGACTCGAGTTCCAACTTGCCAGTCCCTGTAGAGTGCACCAGCTCGTTGGTGAACTCTACTTGCAATGTTCCAATGCTCCAGAGTCCAGTGAACCCTCATTCCAGCACGGGGAGTCTCCTTCACCCCTGCAACTCCAGCAGCAACGGCTCAAATAGCACCAATGGCCACTCACTCGCTGGGAACATTCATTCCACGGTTCTTACTTCAACCACGAGCAACCTCCACCCTGCGACCAACAGTTGCCAGAATAAATTAAGAAGAAGAAGAAGAAGCCCGTCGCCTACTACGACAAGCGCTTCAACGACTAGGTGCTCTTCGCCGGCACTAGGTCCATCCACGATCATGTACTCCAGCTCAAACTCCCACGTGGAGTCTAATTATTCTGTAGGAACTGCTATTAATAATCCAAGTGTCTCGCCGATCCAGTCCCCCTCGTATCCTTATGGGTTGTATCATCAAACTGGTAGCTCTCATCAGCATATAGCTCCGCTCTCGATAAACTGCTCGGCTTACTCGCCCACCCCCTCGAGCAATGTTGTCTATGAGAGGAGTGATAGGAGACACGAGCCCGCTGGCCATCAGCTGCCCACTTCCTCCACGATGCAGATTGACAATCAGGCTAATTTGTTTGCTGGGACTCACAATCTTCACCTGGGACACCATCCCGGGTTGACGATCCATGCAAATTCTGCGCTCAATAGATACTCACCGGCGAGCTCGCTGTCTCCCGATGATCATGCTTGCTCACAGAGCGGTTCGCTCAGTCCTAATTCTCAAGGCTCTAGAGGATATCGGTCTCTCCCCTATCCGCTTAAGAAAAAAGATGGAAAGATGCACTATGAGTGCAATGTTTGCTGCAAGACTTTTGGACAGTTGTCTAATCTTAAGGTTCACCTCAGGACTCACTCAGGCGAAAGACCTTTCAAGTGCAATGTTTGTACTAAAAGCTTCACGCAGCTGGCGCATCTTCAGAAGCATCATTTGGTTCATACAGGTACTTTTTTTTTTTTTTTTTTTTTTTTTAATATTAATTTTTGATTATTTTTTTTTAAATATTAATTTTTGATATTAATTTAAGAAGAAAATATTGGTCGTTTAAACAAATTTTTTTAAATTAAAGTTTACAATATTTAATTTTCTATAAAAAATTAAATTTCATAAAAGTTTTGTGTAAAAACTTTTTTTAAAGGACCAATAAAAAAGTCATAATTTCAAAATTAAGATTTTAATTATGAGTAAAAATTTGAATCATTTATTTTGAACCTTAATTTTGGAATTAAAGTGAAAATATTGGTCCTATAAAAAAAATCATAGACATTTTTTATAGAAAATTAAATTTCCTACAAGTTTTATTTCAAAATTTTTTTAATATGACCAATATTTTCGCTTTAAGATTTAAGTCATATATCATTTTGATATTTAAAAATTATACATGGTATTTATATTAATTAATTAATTTTTTTTTTAAGGTGAAAAACCGCACCAATGTGAAATCTGTCAGAAGAGGTTTAGCTCAACTTCGAATCTCAAGACCCACCTAAGACTGCACTCAGGGCAAAAGCCGTACGCTTGTGACCTCTGTCCAGCAAAATTCACCCAGTTTGTCCACCTCAAGTTGCACAAACGATTGCACACCAATGAGCGACCTTACACGTGTCAAGGTTGCGACAAAAAGTATATAAGCGCTAGTGGTCTTAGAACCCACTGGAAAACCACCAGCTGCAGGCCAAATAATATAGAGGACGAGCTAGCTCTAGCTGCTGCTGTTGGTTCCCCTAATTATTACGAATACGGACCTGATGTTGGTAAGAAACACTTCTAACACTTGTAATTTATTTCTTCTTCAATTTTACTTATGAATTTTTTGAATTCTTTCCAGGCAATATGCAAAAAGACTGCGAGTTAGAGCACATAGAAAACTATGAAAGGCGTAATAGTGCACATTCAACGTCGTTACACAATTTGGACAATTCAGTGGGTCGACCGAGTGTTATAGAAACCTCTCAGCCACATATTATTGAATGTACTTAAGGGATTAATTTTTAATAAATTAATCTCAGCTCCAAAATGTCCAATGTGATAATTGGATGCAATATGGGACCCTATGGCTTCGGATCTGCACAATCGGTGATAATTACTTCGAGTCTTATGCGCTAACGCAAGATAATACTCTCGAATTAATGGATATTTTAAAAGAAGAAATAAATTTTTCTATAAATATTATTAATTTGAATAGAAAAAAATAAAAAAAAAAACACCAATGCTTCCTTAATTAAATATTTTTAATGCTAAATAATTTTTTTACTCTTATAATTATCTATATCCACATAATTCGATATATTTTTCTTGCGTTATTTATAATATTTAAATTTTGTACATTAGAGTACTTAATTATCTCCAATTGGCGGATTTTGTCGGCACCCGCCAGTATTTATAAAACAAAAATTTTTTTTAAAATTAAAAAGAAGAAATAAGAAGTGATAAATTGAATTTAAAAAAAGGGTGATCAGGAGGGCTAAAAAGTTTAAAAAAAAAAACCAGTGACGACACGACTGCAACTATACGAGACCTGTACCTGTATATACTATTATAAGGGATAATTGTAATCAGTAATTAGGAAGATATTATTATATAAAGTACACAATATATGTATGTATATATATATATAAATTAATATATGTATACATATATATATATATATAAATATAAATATATTATTATTATTATTACTATAATTGTTAATATTATTTAATTATTATTTGTATTGTCGGTTGGCCAAACGGTAGGCTGTATACAATTGAAGAAATAATTTATTTATTACATATCTTCTTAACAGACACAAATCACTTATATACATTCACATATATCAATTTATATACTCAGTATGTACATATATTTTTTTATCAAGATATATATATCTTATTTTACTATAAAATTCAAATTAAAAACCAATCAGTATTTCCAACTAATTTTTGTTACAATTTAAATTGTTTATTTTTTTAAATTATTACTTATTTTATTTTATTAAATATATTATAAATTCTTCCATTATTTCTTCATTTATTAATCTCATTTTATAATCATATATTGGACACACTTCCATTAATATTTAAGCGGACTCTTCACTAGATCTTTAGTACTGTATACAGTCTACCGCTTAAAAAGTAAAAAAAAAAAAAAACGAAAACGTGCTTACAGATATTTTCATAGATAAGTGATTTAATTTATTAAATTTCAATTGGGTTTAATTGTCAATTTTATTAATATAAGAAGAAATCTTTTGCGGATAATTAATGAGAAGAAATTTTATTTTATTTATAATAGAAAAGGATAAATTATATTTGATAGAATCTTAGACATCAAATCGCTCTTCTATGATAATATTTCCACGAATTCGCAGACTGATATTAATACAGCTGTTGGAGCTCACAATTTTACACTAAAAGTGTAATTAAAAATTAAAAGCAATAACGAGGATCTCTTTGAAGAAGAAATAAAAATTTTATCAGTGCGCTATAAAGAAAAAAATATAAATTATTTTTATCAATCGATAAATACTTCATTTTTTTTTTTTTTTTTGTAAATAATTGTTTGAAATTTTGCGTACCTAATTTTTTTATTTTAAATTACTCATAAAGACTTTTAAAAATGCAACAGGCAACGTGGATGATTCAGGCACTCTGCGGGATGCCCAAGCCAAAAAAAAACGACCCGATAATTAAAAAAAAAAATTTTGTTATTAAAATGTTCACGCACTGCCGTAAATTCTGTATAATAATTGACAAAGCAGAGAGTGTTTTTTTTTTTTTTTTTAAACTTATTCGCAGATAATTTAAATGCTCAAAAATAAATAAAAAGGATCAAATAATAGATGGATAAATATTTATATACACATAAATATAATTTTTACCTTGTCAATATTTTTCAGAGTATAACAAGTGCTTGTACATTTTTCTAGTCGTATAAATACTCTTGGATCGGCAAATTTAGTAAGCCAATAATATTAATTATTAAAGTTACGATAAATAGCGCAAGATAGAAAAATGAGTTGGAAAAAAAAAAAAAATAAATAAATAAATATAGAGACAGTTTAAAGCATAAGGAGGCTTCCAAAAAATATACCAAAATACATTTTCTTCCAGTACATTAATAAATACTCGAATGTCAATTACAAAAGCTAATAAAAGGATTAAATAAAATAAAAATTGACTTTTTTAAAATATTGAATAACTAAACTGCTTCCAGAGGCCATTAACGCGACGCTAAAAAATAAAAAAATAAATTATTAAAAATCATTCTGTGAATTGCCTCGACTCGCTACCTTGCCTGCAAAAAGCGCACTCTCAATATATGTTATAATTATAAAAGAAAAGTTTAAATGCAAGAAGAAATGTTAATCGTATGAAGAAATGCTAGACCATGTAAATATGCTGAAAGTAGTGAACTAAAGTGGAAGCAAGGCGACTACTCGCTTACCTCGGTAACAAATAAGCAATATTTTATTCTTATCATCTTTTTGAGTAAGGACGAAATTTAATTTTTAAACAAATCATCGTAAACTCCAACCATCTTGTACTTAAAAAAAAAAAAAAACAACACACACACACATTGTGTACAATAGCGCACGTTCGTAATTAAAATTTATAAAATTAAAATGTTAATTATCCTTACACTTAAAAATAGTGAAGATAAAAAAAAAGGAAAAAATTGTTACGCATTTATTAATATTATAATTATCGAATAGGTAATGCTCAACTTAGCATTTGTTTCTTAAAAATAAAAAATAAAATAAATATATGGCTGTTGGATATTTACATATGCGTACTTGAGTTTGTTATTTTTTATTTGCTTTATTTTTTTTTTTTTAACGCAACACATGTGTATTTATTATTATGTTATGGAAAGGAATAATATTAAATTTGATATGTTTTTTAGCAAAAAGATAAAATTATTGAGTAAAAATATTTTTTTGTTTGTCACGTTTTCATAAATTGTATTGAAAAATTTTTCTACAATAACCAAAATTAATAGAATCATTAATTTACAGTTACAAATATCAAAATTTATATAATTAGTATTTTTTTTTTTAATTATTATAATAATATCATTGAAATATTTTTTAATTCAATTAACAAAATAATTTTATCAAATCAGTGTATAAAAAAAATTTCAAATGAAATTTTCACGTCACTTACGAAATTTATATGTCAAATTACCGTTTTATTTTTTATATATAATTTAGAGAAAAACTGTTAATATAAACGAACATCTATAACACAAATTTAAATGGGAAGCAATCATTTAAATTGCTTTCATACTTATTATTTAAATCCTAATCCTCGATACTGTAAATAATGATTTACATTCATGCAATATTGAGGATAATTTCTTATTGATAATTATAAAAATAATACAGTTTTTATTCGTATTTTATAAATTGGAAAAAATTAGCTATTTATATTTAAAAGTTGGACATTTAACATCGTCTCATCTAATCGAATGTCTGAAAAAAAAATTCTGTAAATTATATATTATTAATTAACTTTGGTAATTATTTACAAGTCGGGTCAAACTTATTTATGTTAAAAAATATCGTCAAAGAAAAAAATAAAGATTTTGATAGCTTTTTTTTTATATATATTTTTCAAAAAAAAATTAAAATTAAAATAATAGACCCCACTTGTAAATAATTACACCTTAACTTAATTAAACCGTAAGTAAATAAATAAAATACCTTATCAAGGTATTGGACTGTCTGTACCACTTCCACTATTGGTACTAGCTTCATTTTTCGTAGCAGCTAACCGGTCAGCACGTTTTGTACTCTTGGACAAGGTAGCAACCTCCTTCAAAAGAGTAGAAATCTTAGACTGCATCGTCGCTACCTTACTTTCGTACTCTTTTTCAGTCAGCTTCATTTTGTTGCGCAGTTCAGTTTCTGAGGTAAAATTTTTAGCTTTTAAATCGGTAATCTGCAATAAAAAAAAAATTAAGCAACAATTTATTTTATCAATTGATTAATAAAATAAAAAAAAAATTGAGTAACTACTTGTCTATCCTTGGTAAGTAATTGATTATCTTTTTGCGATAATTGTTTTTGTAAGTGAGCTATTTTTTCTTTGAGCTGCGTTACGGCAACGACATGGTCAGAGCTGTTGGGATCATGAGGATCATGAACTCCGACCATTCTCGCAACTTTTAATGGAGTTGGTCCGTTTACTTCTGCAGGCTCCGGTTGAGGTGGCAGCTTCGTTACATCAACACGATGCGGCCGCTTATTGTGTCCTTTTAATCTGTAAAGTTTAAAAAATTATTTAATTAAAAATTCTTTTATTAAAGACAAAAAAAAAAAATTTTATTACTTTTGTTCCTTGTGTTTAGAAGCACGATCATGTGCAAGTTTCAAATGAGCTCTTCGGTCAGCGTCAGATTGTTTTGTTTTCGCCAATGCTCTCTTATACGACAGCGTACATAGCCAGCATAGTAATTTACCATCAACCTAAATTAATAAATTAATTAATAAATAAATTAAGATGAAATGACTATTTTTAGATACATAATTAAAAAATTACCTTGTATCTTGTGAACTATTAACATTTTTAAAGATATAAGCTCATCTTGATATTACACTCATCAAGAGCTTTCATTTGAGTACCCACATCAATTTTTCATATATTTATATATATTATATGTATATATGAAAAATATATCAAAAATGCATGTGGGTACTCAAATGAAAGCTCCTCATGAGAGTAACATCAAGATGATCTTATATCTTTAAAAATATCAATAATTAAGAAATGACTTTGTATCTTGTAAACTATTCATATTTTTAAAGATATAAGCTCATTCCGATGTTACACTCATCAAGACCTTTCATTTGAGTACCCACATCAATTTTGATATATTTTTCATATATATATATAAATATATGAATATTGACATTTTTAAAGATATAAGCTCATCCCGATGTTACACTCATCAAGAGCTTTCATTTGAGTGCCTACTTGCATTTTTATCAATTTTGATATATTTTTCATATATATATATAAATATATGAAAAATTGATGTGGGTACTCAAATGAAAGCTCTTGATGAGTGTAATATCAAGATGAGCTTATATCTTTAAAAACGTCAATAGTTAAAAAAGTACAGTGCAATTTAACAAAAAATCATTTAATAAAGCAAAATTTTATTTATTTATAATTCACAAATTAAGGCAGTCACATAGTGACTGCAAGGTTGCTAGTAAATAAATAAATAAAAAATAACCTTCTTATCTTCATCTTGTCTATCAAAAGCACACTTTTGTTTGCATTGCTCGCAAGTAACAGGTGGACCGTAGCGTTTTTCCGAGTTAGTACATCTTTGGCATTTGCTGCCAATGAACGCCGCGATGGTGTTACAGTACTCACAAGCTGATGGCTTGCCATAAGCCTTGACATTTTGCTCGCACTTCTTGCAAATCGTACAAGTGTTACCTTTTCTGTAAAATAAAAATTGTCAATAACAAAAAAGAATCTCAAAATTTTAATTAAAATTTTTTTACTTAAATTTCTTTACTGATAAATATTTATAAAAATATACTCACACTGTTTGTTGGAATTCTGATCTGCAATAGGTACACTTAACCACAGGATACGAACCACGACATTCCTAAATTAACAATATCGTATTATCCGATATTATACCATTGTTTTAATTCAATTGCAATACAAAAGTTTAAAATAAACACGCTAAGATAAGCTTACTTATATTATATTGTATTTAATTGGATATATTTTGTTCTTATAAATAAATTATAAGCATTGAAATATTATACGCAAGCTTAATTTTTTTTATAACTTTTTTTTCACTCATGTAAACACGAGACGTAACTTATAAAATTCTAATATTAGCTGCGTCTCGTATACATATATATATATATATATATTTGATGTTTGTCAATGAGAAATGTCAAGAGTAGTTAACCAAAAAATATATATGTATGCAATTCTGTCATTAAAAATATTTTTTTATTATTTTTTCAAGGTTAAGAAAATAATGAATAACTTTTTTAATTAAAGAAGAAATAAAAATGATATTTTTTAAATAATTTACCTTGCACAGCTGTTGGCCAGGAGATAATTCTTCAAAAGGATGCCTCCCGAAACACCGTGAGCACGCAAATAACGCTTTCGCATTATTAGAACTCATTTTTGAAATAATAAGTAAATATTTATGGTAATTATTCTTAAAATATTGGCCCTTTTATTTATACTATTTCTTCTTTATTATTATTGTGTTTTGTTTATACTTGAGTATACTTTTAGTTAATAATGCTTTGAAGGATTTCAATTACAATGTGTTTGACAAAATAGAAACTTGTGTTTTATGTACGAGCGCGTTTAAGGACATTAATAAAATAAGAATATTAAATAAAACACTTATTAGATTATCTAGTTACAATTTTTAAATATAAATAAAGACGGAAGCACAATTAATAAATAAACTAGTTTTTACAACACCGAACACACTAAACTTGACTCGACATTAAGTATTAAGTAAAATTTCTATCTCACTCACTATCCTGTTTTTTTCTCTCTCCTCTCAGAAACCGACAGAGCACTCGCCAGTGCTGCCAAGTGCCAAATATTTGTAACTAATCACCCCTTATTTGCTCTTGGCATATATTATAATGCAAATTATTATTTTAATTGTCAAGTTATTTTTTTTGCAGGTAATTTAATTTAATAATTATTTTTTTTTTTATTTCAATAAAAGATTAATAATAATCATATTTTTTAATTGTTCTTAGTAGTAAAAATTATGTAGGTTAATTTACCGGCGTTATCTAATTAAAAAACGAATAAAATAATTTTATTAAATATATTAAACATCTGTCAAATATAAATTCAATATATAATTATGCTCAGGTTTTTATGCAATAAAATAATGAAAATTAAATTAGCCGACATTTTTAAATTTTTATTGTTTATTTTATTGGAAAATGATTTTTAAAAAATTGCACATGTAGAAAATTTTAAAAATTATACGTGCAATTTTTTAAAAATACTTTTTTAATTCTAATATAATTAATAAAAAAAATCAAAACTTAACAAATAAATTATGGCAAAAAAATTGACATGTAGAAATTTTAAATGCAATTTTTTGGAACAAATTTGTTTGTTAAAAAAAAAATAAAAAAATTGACAAGTGACAGCTAAATTTAAGTCACAATAAAATACAATTATTTATGATACTTAAATCAGCAGCTGACAATTTTTAATTAAAATTAATTATAAAAAATTTTTTAATAATAATTAAGTTAAAAAAATGACAGGTCTTTTAAATTTCAGTATCATAATCATTTAATTAAATTCAAGAATATTTTATTAAAGTAAATTTTAAATTACATAATATTATATACTTAAATTACTAATTTAATTTACTGAGTAATTAGTAATTAGATTTAAGTTACAGTATCAAAATAAACTACCAAAAAAAAAAAAAATGATCTCTGAATTTCAAAATAATAGAAGAAAAAAAACTTTAATTGTTATTTATTTATTTAGTTTAAATAAATAAATAAATTGCTATAATTAGAGCCAAAAAAAAATATTTTTACCGTAAATTTAATCACAATAATTCTTAAGCGTTAACTTCGGAACAATATTCATCGACTGTAATTCCTGAAACAAAAGTTTGCAAGCATAGGGCATGGTAATCGTAGACAAGCACCCGCTCTTTTTGCAATTATGACACCACCCACTATATCCCATCATCCCACACTGATTACAAACGTCCAGCTTAAAAGCGTCACTAGAAATCATCAATCTTTCAAGCAACATCATACTAGCTCCATACCCAATCAAGCAATCCCGTTCCATCTCTCCCAGCCTCAACCCTCCGTCCTTAGCTCTTCCCTCAGTAGGTTGTCTCGTCAAAGTAGTACAAGGCCCCCTAGCTCTCGCGTGCATCTTATCCTGCACCATGTGCTTCAACTTTTGATAATAAACCGGCCCGGAGTAGATATAAGCCTGAAGAGGTTCTCCCGTAATTCCTGAGTAAAACATATCTTTCCCAAGATAATTAAATCCTTTCTTCACTAATTCTTCACAAACATCAGAAATTTTGGACCCACCAAAAGCCGTACCATAGTGAGGTTCTCCATTCAAAACTCCCGCTTTTCCAGCAAGTAACTCAATCAACTTCCCGACTGTCATTCTCGAGGGGAATCCGTGGGGGTTCATGATCATATCAGGACAAATTCCCTGGTCATTAAACGGCATGTCTTCTTGCTCGACAATCAGCCCAGTGACACCTTTCTGCCCGTGCCTACTACTGAACTTATCTCCAATCTCCGGCCTCCTGGTTTGCCTCAATAATACTTTAATCAAGCACTCGCCACTGTTATTTGTTCCAATCATAACTTTTTCAGCATAAGAAGGAATAGTTCCCTTATAAACAACCGGAGTTTCACGCTGCTCTTTATGATCATTACTATTAGGATTCCCCGGTGTAGTATTTACATTCGCCGGTACGAATTTATTGATAACAATTTGCTTATGATTGATCAAAACTCCCGGAGCGACAATCCCATCCTGATCAATTACATTGTGATACTTAACAGGCTTACCATCACACATCTTAGGTCCATTGATCCCGTCTTGAAGCGGAGTGGTCTTACTTCCATATTTCTTCAGCGTAGTTTTCATATTTTTATAAACAATACACCTTCCGTACCCACGATCTATCGAAGCCTTGTTTAAAATCAGTGCATCTTCAATATCATACCCACTGTAAGACATCACAGCTACTATAGCATTCTGCCCAGCTGGTAATTTATCAAAATTAATTAGCTCAATTGTCCGAGTTGACACCATCGGCTTCTGGGGATAGACCAAATTATACTGCAAAGTCTCAATACGATTCCGCTGATTGTACCCCAGAGTTCCCATGGCTTGCTTACCCATAGCACATTGATAAGTATTACGCGGACTCTGATTGTGATGAGGATAAGGAACGAGCCCAGCACAGACTCCCAGAAGAGTAAAAGGCTCTATTTCTAAGTGAGTTGTTTTATAAGTAATGTGCTCTTCATTGAACGCAATATGACAGTCGTTTTCTTCATTTACATCCAAGTATTCAACGAGTCCTTCATGCACGTAATCATCAAAGGTCTTGATACCCTGTTCAAGCTTTGTAATATCTTCACTTGTTAATAAAGACTCGCCTTTTTTGCAAATAATATACGGACGGCAAAGACGACCTCCGTCGGAACTTATTTGGACGCACTTGTGGCTGTGCTGGAGATAAATAGATATAAAAGGGTCAATTAAACCCTGACGACGCAGCATTCGAAAAACATTGACGAGCCTATTATAATTTTTAATAACTCCCAAGATGTTTCCGTTTAAAAAGACCATGTATACTTCTTTGCTCTGGATTTCTTCTCCGCTGAGAATATTAATGCTTTCGACTCCTAGATTATAAACCAATCTAGCGATTGGTTTTTCTTCAATCTCCGTAGTGATGTGAGTCATCAAAGCGAGGTTTTTAACCAACCCGCAAGATTCTCCTTCAGGAGTATCACTGGGACACATCATTCCCCACTGAGACGGCTGTAAAGACCTAGGTCCTGATACTTTACGAGTTTTTTCAAACTGAGAGTTCACTCTTGTCATCATTCCTAACGCTGAAATATAAGACAGTCGCGATAGAATCTGCGTGACACCCTTACGGTCCATTCTAAAACGTTTTATGTTCCAATTTCCAGATGATATAGCAAAGACTAGCCCATTTGTTATTGAATCTGCGTTCATGTGTTTGGTGATGTCGTAAGGCGCCGCTTTTATTTTAGCAATATTTTTGTCAGTAGTTTGTTTGAGGGTTGTATTGTAGCGCTTGAATAAATCTTCAAACATAAGCGCTAGCAGAGAGCCAGCTAATTCTAATCTTTTGTTACCGTAATAATCACGGTCGTCTATCAGTGAGCTGTCTGACTGGGCGCGGATTACGCGCTTTATCATCACTGCTAGGTATGTTGCTTTTGATTTGAAATTAAAATCGACTAGTGGCACGTGGCTTATTACATTTTGAGCTAACACGTCGCTGATTTCATCTGTTAGAGACATTTTTGAGGTAGAAGCAAATCTTCTGTGCTTTCTTTTTGCAGCGAGGAATTTCAATGCTTGGTTTTGGGAAAATATACCGAGTGAACGACATTCTTCAATACTCGATGCAAATTTTTCCATTGATTCTTCATCGGTACCAATTAACTGAATTATTTCTTGATCAGAAACTATTCCCATTGCTTTAAATACTATAACTATTGGGATATCATCTTGGAATATATTGTGGCGTAAGTAGTACTTGCCGTTTTTGCCGACAATATTTGTTTTAGTTTTCTTTTCATCTGTTGAACTGTTACAGGACGCCATGATACATCCTTTGTTATCTTTTTCAATTATTATACGATTTTTAATCATCTGCTCTTGGATTAGAATCACTTTTTCTTGGCCATTTACTATGAAATAACCGCCAGGGTCATGTGGGCACTCGTTTAATTTTGATAGTTGGAAGTGAGTTGCATCTCTTAGCACACAGTTTGAGCTCTTTAACATTATTGGCATTCTGTAAATAATTATTGTGTTATTAAAATTACTTAATGTATAATTGTATTGATTAAAATTTTTAAAAGAATTGACTTACTTTCCAATGCAAATGTTTTTCTTGATCACCCGCGTTTTGGCAATGTACTCGACGTCTACATAAATACCAGCGGAGTAAGTCAAGTCTCTCAGTCGACATTCATGTGGAGTCACTCGAGTTGAAACGTTAAATTCCAATTCTTCTGGATTTCCAACTCTTACATCTAAATATCTATCAATAATAAAAAAAAAAAAAAAAAAAAACATTATAAAATTACTTATTGAAACTATTTGAATTTTTTTATGATACTAAATTTGAAACATTTGACTATTTTTTTTTTTATTTTTCAATTAAATTATAGCAAGAAAAATTTATTTATAAAATTCAATCTTTAGAACCTCTAAAAATTATAAAATATTTTTTAAAAATTGCACTGATAGCTTTTCAAGTTTTTTACAAGTGAAATTTTTTATTTTTTTTTTTTTGTAACAATTTTTTCAATAAAAAAATTTCTAAAAATTTTTAGATGTCGACTAACTTAATTTTCATATTTTAATGTCATATTTTTTGTAATATATTGAAAGTAATAAATACCTGAGAAAAAATGAATCCGTGCTATCAGAAAGAATCAAATTATTAGCCGCAACAATTTTTTTTATTTCAACATTGATGAAATAATCAAAAGAATCAAGATGTTGTTTCACTAATCCTTTGCCTCTTAAAAACGCCGGTACAAGTTTCCATTTGTTCTAAAAAAAAAAAATACAGTTTTTATTAATTAGTTAATAAAAAATAATATTTATAAATTAATAATATTAAACTTACCTCAATGTGCCGAGCAACCCTATTATATTTATCCTCTTCTTTAATATGCTCCGAATTTCCCATTTTCATTTCACCCATTTTTGCTTATTTTGTTTTATTAATTATTTTTAACTATTACAACACTGACATATTATTAATATTTTAAATTATAAAAAAATTCGATATAACCTTATAATTTACAGAGTATTAAACTACAATCACCACTCAGCTCAGAATCAGAAACACGTGTGACTTTTTTTATTTTTTTCTGTTTTTTTCTAAAAGCAACCTCACGGATTTGTCAGCAATGTAAACTCCTTGCATCATTATTGTTGGTAATATAGAAATCACAAACAAGTTATTGCGCATGCGCAACAGAAATAAAAAAATACTATAGTTTGATTACAAAGCACAAACTATAGTAAAAACAAAAGCCTGTCTCTCTGATAGCCGCGCTTTTTTTCTATAAACAAAATTCATGTTCATATCATGCACGTCCGTTGTTGCCATCAACGACGCAAAAAATAATGTGACGATCGTAAGCATTTTGTTTTTGATTATCTTAACAACCGGAATAACAATTCGCTCAGCAGATTAATTTTCTTAATTAATTAAAAAGTATCTTCGTTGAAAGATTAAAAAATTTAGCAAAATGCCCGGTGAAGCTTTTCGAGACAAAGGTGTTATTAGAAAAATATACCTCAAGGATTTTATGTAAGTCAATTTATAATAATTTTTTATAATACTAAAGTTAGCCGACATTATTAATTATTTTTAAAATTATACTTATAATTTTTAAAGTTCTTTTTTAATTTTTTCAACAAGAAATTATAAAAACTTTTAGATGTCGGCTAATTTAATTTTTGTTAATTCTTTAAACTTATATAAATATGTTTTATTTTATTAATTGATTGTAAATATTTAACAGCACGTACAATGAAGTTACCGTGACACCAGGTCGTAATTTGAATATGATTATTGGACCCAATGGCACTGGAAAATCAACATTGGTTTCAGCTCTAGCTCTTGGATTCGGTGCTACACCCAAAACACTCGGCAAATCATGCCAGATTGGCGATTATGTTCGTAGAGGATGCGAGAGAGCCACCATCGTAATTCACGTTCAACATTCACCCCAGAGAATTCTACAGCTGACTCGCATAATTACCACTGAAAATAAATCAACCTGGATGATTGACGGAAAACCTGTCATTGAGAGTAAAGTTCGTGAAGTTATCAACGATTTGAACATACAGGTAATTACATTTTTTTTAAAGAAATTGAAAAAAAAATAACAATTTTTTTTTTTATAAAGAAATTTCAAAAATAAAAAATGCCATTTTTTATACATATCTTTTTTGGAACAAATTTGTTAAAAAAAAATTTTAAAGTGACAATTAAATTTAATGTCATACGTATTTTTTTTTTTTTAATAGGTTAACAATCTCTGTCAATTTCTACCGCAAGAACGGGTCCAAGATTTTGCCGGCCTTGATGCACGTCAGCTGTTGATAAGTACTGAGAAATCTGTTGGAGATCCACGATTACACGGTTTCCATACCCAGCTGATAGAATTTCGTGGTAAAGAAGGACAAATGAGTGCTGAAATAGAGCAAAAAAAGTCTAAGCTAGACATTGACAAGCAGACTTTCGCCAGGTTGGAGGAGTCTGTATCAACCATCAAAGAACGGACCACAATGATCAACAAATTGAAAAAATTGAACCAGAAGAAGGCTTGGATGGAATACGAGGATGCCAAAAAAGTTACGTCTGAAACTAAAGCGCAAAAAGATCAACTGTCTCTTGAATTGATCCAATTAAGAGAATCACTCGCTCCCTCTGATGAACTTATCAATAGAAAGAAAAGTGAAATAAGAAGATTAGAGAACTTGGTTAATACTCACAATCGTAAAATCACTGAGCACGAAATAAAGTTGAATACTACCGTAGAAAAATTTGAGAATTGTCACTGTGACATAAATAATATCAAAAAAGAATCTACTATGGAGATAGAGCAAGAAAAGTCACGGGATCAAGAAATAAAAAAAGCTGAAATTCGTAAAAATAAATTAGAAAATGACAAGCCTTTGCTGATTCAAGAGCTAGGATCCGTGGAAGTAATTACAAAGCGTTTTCAAGAATGTGATTATCAAGTTGAGAACCAAAAGCGAGTAACTGAAGATCTATCCGACAAAACTTCAAGATTAAAAAATGAGTGTGACAAAATGAAGTATGAAATCAGTAACTTTCAACGTTTGATAAAAAATTTAAAGAATGTTGAGGACAAACGTATGGATATTCTTCGACAGTACAGCAGCGATACGTTTGAAGGTGTCCAGTGGCTTCGGAGGAACACTGATAAGTTCCAGGGTAAAATCTTCGAGCCAATGATCCTGACGCTTCAAGTAGATCATCCTGACCACGCCAAGTACGTCGAGCGTGTCATACCTCACCGTGATTTGATTGCCTTTGTATGTGAAAGTAAAGAAGATATGAATTTGTTGTTGACTTATTTAAGAGAGGAGCGAAAATTGGTCATCAACGCAGTTCATTCAGACCCTAACAGAAATTACAACAACAGACCTCACATTCCGCTGGACCAGCTCCGTCAATTTGGCTTCCAGAATTATTTAATTGACTTTATTGATGCTCCTCCGACTGTAATGAATTACTTGGTGTCCATGTATCACATTCACAACATTCCCATTGGTACTGCTGCTGTTGAGAACCAAGCTGATCACGTTCCCGACAGCATTTCTTTGTACTTCTCTCCGAATAATTCCTACAGTGTCAGAAGGTCCAAGTACACTGGGGACAAGTCCACAAGCATTTCTCAATTAAGTGGTACGCGTTACTTCAATGTTAATATTGATACCAGAAAAATTCAAGCCCTTGAGCAGAAAGTAGTGGAGCTGCAGCGTCATCTGGATGATTATAATCAGCAAGTGGAGGCTTCTGTTGGACAGCACCAAGAAGAGTGCAGAAAATTGGATGAGATAAGGAATAATAAAGCTAAGATTAGGTCTGATTTGAGTCAAATTCAAAAGCTAGAAGCTGATATTAATGTTGCGAAGATAAAACTTCAGAAATTGCAGAGTGACCGGAAGAGTATTGAGGCGATTAAGACTAACGCTCAGCAAAGAATTTTACGAGCTATTAAAAAACAAATTGGTTATTATGCAGAGTGTAATCAATTGTATGAAAAAGTTGTGCTGATGTCCTCGCAGGCGAAGACTGATTCGTTTAAATTGAAATTATTACAGCAAGAGTTGATTAAGTTTAGTGAAGAGTCGCAAATTTTGAGGGAGAATGTGGAAAGAGTTAAGGAAAATGTTGACAAATTAGAGAAAGAACTTGTTGGAATGAGGAAGGCGCTCAGGGAGTACCAGGAAAAAGCAATTGCAGAAACTGATGGTGTTAGTTCAGATGACCCACGTTTCAAGAGAATCCAAGCGGCTTTTAATAAACTTCCGGCTACTTTTACGGAGATTGAAGAAGCTATGCAGGCGGCTAAAGCCAAGCTTTATTGTTTAGACAGAACTGAAAATGGCGAGCAGATTCTGGCTCAATATGACAAGTTGAGTCATGATATTGAAAAATTGGAGGGTGAAATAAAAGCACTTGAAGAAAAAAAGCAGGAGAGCAAAGAGCAGATCAGTAAGCTACATGATGAATGGATACCTCTTATTTCCGGATTAGTCGAAAAAATCGGAACTAATTTTTCTGAGTACTTTGAAAGTGTCGGGTGTGTTGGAGAAATAAAGCTGAATGTCCCTGAAAATCCCAAAGACTACGATCAATATGAGATGCAGATTTCTGTCAAGTTCCGCGATGCTGACGAACTTCAAATATTCGACAGACAGAGGCAGAGTGGAGGTGAAAAGGCTTTTACCACTGCAGTTTACATGCTTGCGCTCCAAGAAATGTGCAACGTTCCTTTCAGATGTGTTGATGAAATCAACCAAGGAATGGATCCTATCTACGAAAGACGCGTCATGGATTTGCTCGTTGAGTTGACTACCAACAGATCTAGCTCTCAGTACTTTTTAATCACGCCTAAATTGCTTCCGCATTTACATTACAACGACAATTGTAGGATTCATGTTGTACACAATGGTCCATGGGTTCAGCCTAATGACAAATTCAATGTTCAGCATTTCTACTCAAGAATTTCAGTTTAAAATTTATTTATTTTCATTATCTTATCATTAATAATTTGTGTTTTTTTTTTTTTTTTTTATTATTACTTGTTCAATTGTCTTTTTATCTCTTATAATATTATTATCAAAATTAATTTTACGTACTTTTAAAATTAATTATTATTATTGACGTTAAATACATATTCTTTTTAATAATTGCAATATTTATTATTTTTATTTAGATTAAAAATAAAATATATATTGTACATACTATTCAATACTTAATATTAAAAAATTGATAACGAGTATTACAACATATATTATAATTTTTCCTTATCAATTAGAGTTATCGTACCAGTGATGAAAATAAGCAGACTAATTTCTTAATTTAAGTTAACTCGTGCAAGTGTTCAATATAAAATGAATATCAACCTCCGTATTAGTTTAAGATTATTTAATTTTACAAAAATAAAATCCTTCGAGTGCAGCTCTCGAAGCGCATCTCAGTATTATCCGATTGATGAGCATATTTTTGGATTAAATGATCAACAAAAAGAGGTTGGTGTTTTTTTTTTTTTTTTTTTTTTTTTTTTTTTTTTTTTTTAATATATATAAATTTAATAATTAAAATTTTTTATTTTAGTTAAGAACAGCTGTTTTTAATTTTGTGCAAAAAGAATTGGCCCCAAAAGCTGCGCAAATAGACAAAACAAACAACTTTGATGACCTACGGGTAAATTTTTTTCATTGATTTTATTGACGTAGATATTTTAAAATTAGTTTAAAAATTTTTTCTTTCTGTCAGAGTTAAATATATATAAATATAAATGTATATTCATTAGCTAAAAATATATATTCTGGTCGTTTTATAAGAGCTTTGACTTTTTGGTATTTATATTTTTTAGTAAATAGGTTGTTTACAAAAATTTTTAAAAACAAAATGATTTACCAACTTATGCAATTAATTTTATTTAACAAATAAATTTTTTTTGAAAAATCATTTTTAAAAAATTGCATTTATAATTTATAAATAAAATTTTTTTTTAATATTTTTCAGTCATTTTGGAAAAAACTGGGAAGCTTAGGTCTGTTAGGAATAACTGCAAAGCCAGAATATGGAGGCACAGGTGGAAGTTATTTGGACCACGTTATCGTGATGGAAGAATTAAGTCGCGCTTCCGCTTCTATCGCCTTGAGTTATGGCGCTCACTCGAATTTGTGCATCAATCAGATCCAACGAAATGGAACTGAAGAGCAGAAGCTCAAGTACCTGCCAAAGGTAAATTGATCTATTCATATTTATTGATTTTTAATAAAATAAAATTATATTTAATATTATATATGCTAGCTGTGCAGCGGTGAACATTTTGGAGCTTTAGCAATGTCCGAACCGGGTTCAGGATCCGATGTCGTGTCAATGAAAACAAAAGCTGAAAAACACGGCGACTATTACATTCTAAACGGCAATAAATTTTGGATCACTAATGGATGTGATGCTGATACACTTGTTGTTTATGCTAAAACAAATTTAACCACCGATAAACCACAGCACGGCATAACTGCGTTCATCGTTGAAAAAGGTACCGAAGGATTTACCACGGGAGTTAAATTGGACAAACTTGGCATGCGCGGTTCTAATACAGCGGAATTAATCTTTCAAGATTGCAAAATACCCGGTAAATTTTATTTAATTATCAACCATTTAAACTCTGCCTTACATTTTAGTTAAATTAATTTATTGTAATTATTTCAGCGAAGAATATATTAGGCCAGTTAAATAAAGGTGTCTATGTTTTGATGAGCGGGTTGGATTTGGAGAGACTGGTTCTAGCTGGTGGTCCATTGGGGTAACTTAACAATTATTTAAACTATTTTTATTATTTTATTTAGATATACTAGCTACCTTAAAGTCACAATATGACTGCCATGACTTGTGAACTACGAATAGATAAAATTTTGCTTTATTAAATAATGAATTTTGTTAAATTGCACTGTACTTTCTTAACTATTGACATTTTCAAAGATATAAGCTCATCCCGATGTTACACTCATCCAGAGCTTTCATTTGAGTACCCACATGCATTTTTGATATATACATATTAGGGGTGTGCGAATAATTCGAACTTACGAATTATTCGTTTCGAATCGAATATTAATATTCGAATCGAATAATTTGAATTTCGATTAATTCAAAAACTCGAATTATTCAATTCGAATTTCAAATCGAATATCAATACTCGATTGGAACGATATTCGCACACCCGTATTTGAAATTGTCGATAAGTTCATTATTAATCATAATTATGCATCAATCGAATCGTTTTCACATTCTCTACAAGGATTCTAGGCCAAACAGTTGATTAGATTAGTAACTTGGAAGAAATTTAGAGGTTTCATTTTTACATGTCCGCGTGGCTATAGCTATCAAGAGTTATCAAGAGTTATCAAAAGTTAACTAGACTAGGATTTAAAATTTTCGATAAGTTCATTTTTAAACATTATTATGCATCAATCGAATCGTTTTCACACTCTCTACAAGGATTCTAGGCCAAACAGTTGAGTAGATTAGTAACTTGGAAGAAATTTAATTTATATTTTTACATGTCCGCGTGGCTATGCTATCAAGACTTATCAAGAGTTAACTAGACTAGGGTTTAAAATTAGGGGTGTGCGAATAATTCGAACTTACAAATTATTCGTTCCGAATCGAATAATTTGAATTTTCGAATTATTCGAAAAATTACGAATAATTCGAAAAAATTCGAATAATTCGAAAAATTACGAATAATTCGAAAAAATTCGAATAATTCGAAAAATTACGAATAATTCGAAAAAATTCGAATAATTCGAAAAATTACGAATAATTCGAAAAAATTCGAATAATTCGAAAAATTACGAATAATTCGAAAAAATTCGAATAATTCGAAAAATTACGAATAATTCGAAAAAATTCAAATCATTCGAATTCTTTCGAATTATTCGTCGAATGTTGATTAATTCGAAAATTCGAATTATTCGGTTCGAATATCAATATTCGATTCGATTCGATTCAAACGATATTCGCACACCCCTACTTACGATACATTATTGTTTGTATATTTAACTATTAATTATTTAGGATAATTAAAAAAAAACTA